ACAACTATTTTTCTAATGGTAGCCCATGATCACTACACAATTGAGCAAATCGAGACTGTCCTCTGATCAGTTGCAAAACCCACAAATCTATAAGAGGAAGAAGTAGAATAATCTTTGGTCTCAAGGAATTTTATCATGACTTGATTTAATCACAATTGGCAAAATTTCTTGATACTTCTCAAAAGTCTGATGACATATTTTGTGATTTGACTTGATCTTTTGACATGGCCTGCTCCAATGGTTTAGGATTCTTGATCTCATCTACACAAACTACTACTAACAAACAGGGGATGGGTTGCGAGATTTTATTGATTTTGGATTTTCCATAATGCTTGTATTCGGCTCCTTGGTTATTTATATTTGGAGCTTTCCGCTTGGAGCTATGTTAGCCAAGGGTCGTCTTCGATTAGGCAAGGTATAACTCTCAACTAGCCTTATGAATAGCCATATGGATTACCCAAAGTTAGGTTTGGATTCTATTGCATTTTTTATGTAGTATAATTGAGTTTATTATTTTATCAATTGAATTCAAATATCAATTTTAATAAAATTTATTTAACGTAAAATTTTTATTTAATTATTATTATTATTATTATTAATTTTAATTTTAATTTTATTGGATCAAATTTTATCGTTCATCCAAATAAATTTTAAATTGAAGATAGTTCATATGCAAATTACATATAAATAATTTGGACGGTTGTAGTTGAACGTATAAAATAATTATAAAATAATAAAAAATGATAAAAAAAAATCATAAGTTCATGAAACAAAATAAAATAAAAAATTAAAAAAAATGAAGATCAAGGCGTTGTCCTTATTGGTAGTTCAATGCAAGAAAAACTAAAGCTAAGACATGTGAAAAAAAAAAAATTATCATAGCTCAACTGTTGATATGTTTGGTTTGGGTTTGTCTCTTTTTTTTTTTTTAGTTTTTGCCTTTAAAATAGTATGAAATATTATTTAGTGATTAATCAATCTTAAAACACAAAAGTTTTAATTAATTTTCCCGATGAAAGAAACAAGATCAAGAAATTTCACTTTCAAATGATCAAATTGCTAAATGATATAGATATTACCACCATTTTGGAAGCCAATTGCTAAAAGAACTTTTTGTCAATTGGTTTAAAAAATGATTGTATATTGGCCGGCAGAGGAATAAAGCTATGGGATCAGTACCAAGCTTCTTGGAACATTAGGAACAAAAGATTCTTATCTTGTCCAAGAGGAGCAAAAACCTTTTGCAGTTTCTTAATCTGACAAAAAGAGCGAAGCCATAGATATCATGAACTAATCCTTTTTGAGCAGCTCAAACTCAGTCCTAAGAACATTACTTTAATCATCTTTGAAAATTTTTTAGTATCTAACTGCATGTTGACATCTAATTTTCTTCATTGATCATGAAAAATCAAACAAGTCTCACACCCATCTTGCTCTTATTTGTTTGCATTCATTTCATGATTTTATCCAATTTCTAGAAATGATTTTATCTTTATTGTATTAAAAACAAAGGAACAGTTGACATTAATGTGCTAGGACAAGAACTCTGGCATAAGAAACTTATTTATATTTTTTCATGGCGTTTATAACTATATATTCCACCTCAAAATGTTTCAGCTTTCATGTAAATTGGCACAGTTGAAGTATGAAAAATTGAGTTAGTTTGTACAACAAAACAAAGTCTGGAAATAGAGTTCTCCAACAATATTCTTTTTGCTACCTTCTTTTTTCTGATATTTCTTAAATACAATGGTGATTAGGCTTTTGTATCTATTGTTTACTTTCAGATTGTGAGCCCCGTAGTTATAGGTGAAAAAAAATTAACCATGCCCCCGAATTTGAGTGGTAACCGAAGCACTAGTCAAAACAGCCTTTGCAGCGGATTCATTTTCTAGGAAAATATTTTCATTATAGTAGTTATTTGGAGTTAGTTAATAATTTGACAGATGAAATGAATCGAAGAATATATAGTCTTCTTTGTCACTTTAATATATAAACTTTTAGGAGAAGTCACTGCAGAAAGGATTTCTTCTTTTCATTTTTTATCATGTAAGCTAAATCATTTGTTTCAATTGTTTCTCCTGTAGCTGCAAATTCCAAACTTTTCCGGGGTTATATTGGTGCACAATCTGACTCAATCAAGTTCTCTGATGTGCCAATAAACTCGAGTGTTGAATTTCATTTCATTCTGGCCTTAGCAATTGACTATATTTATGACAATCATCCATCACCAATTAATGGATAGTTCAACGTAGTTTGGGAAACCAACAATCTGGTTCCAGGTCAAATTGCCTCAATAAGGGATAGGAACTCAAATGTCAAGATTGCTGTCATATTCTTTGGGGGGTGATAGTGTAGGCGAAGATAAAGCCTTTTTCACACCTAAGTCCAGTGTGTCTTGGGTTCAAATGCTGCTTCTTCACTTGTTGATATGATCAAGCAGTACCATATCGATGGAATTGACATTGATTATGCGCAATTCAGCACTAGTCCTGAAATATTTGCAGAATATATTGGACAGCTCATAACGAGTCTGAAAAAAAATGGAACTATCCTATTTGCTTCAATTGCTCCCATTGATGATGAACCAGTTAAAAGCCATTATTTAGCATTATGAAGGAAATATGGACATATAATTGACTATGTAAACTTCCAATTCTACGCATATGATAGGCTCAGTGTTTCCCAATTTATACGAAACTTCACTGAGCAAGCTTTTAACTATGGGGGAGGTCAATTATTGGCTAGTTTTCAGAGTCATGGTGGCAGAGGCCTAAAACCAGCTGATGGGTTTTTTGAAGCCTGCAATGAGTTGAAAGACCAAGGAAACCTTGGTGGCATCTTTAGATGGTGTGCTGATGAATCAAAAACAAACAGTTTTCAATATGAGAAGAAATCTCAGAATCTATTTGCTGCATGATCAAATTGTATCAGTCATTTGTGTATTATATGAGCTACATATATTTCCAGTATCCCTGTCGGACATAAAAAGAAGTTCAGCAATAGTCACAAGGGTCCAATTTACTACTATTTTCGTTAGAATAATCATGGCGATTTCTATTTTCTAGCACATTGATGATCCGAACTTCGTTTAAACTGCATTTGCAAATATTTAATTGAGTAAATACTAATCAACAATCGGCTTAATGACAATGCCCCGTCTTGAACATGCACAATAATATTACAGGCTGGTCAAAGAAATTTTATAATACAGGGAAATTGAATCTCAGATTGCATTTCTAGTGACTTAAATGTTTTTCCATTTATAGCCAATGCAACTTATAGGTTATTTCTGCTAACCGCATATATAGCATGAATTAAGAGTAACTTATTACCATTTCAGATGATACTGTTCCTCCAGTAGAAAAAAAAAAATAATGGAATAGGCTAAATGCAATGTATTTCAAAGACTGCACTAGGCTGGGTTCTTCACCATATAAATCATTTGCAGCACTTGATGTTGCCAAGTTTTAGCAATTGTATGCTTTTTGCTTATACATTTGCCAGACAAGAAGGCTTACGGTTTATAACTTCATATGATTGGATTTTAAGCACAATTCTCGGCTTCCTTTCATGTTTAGACGTAGGATGGAGAGGAACAAAGTTAAATAGCTAGTTGGACTATCATTACAATCATATAAAGAAACATGAACATCATGTCATTTCGGTGCTAATTAAAAACATATGCTGCCAAAGGTTGATAGCTGCACAAAAATCTTATGTTGTCCCCTTTAACAGTGTCATACAGAAGCCCAGGATTGAGAGGTTTTACAAGGTTGACAGGTCCAGATCTATAATTAGCAAATTCACCATCTGGATTATTGGACGGATCAATTGGAAAAGCATAGGAAACAAGAAAAAAAGAGGTGTGATAGAAAAAACAAACTAGTTAAGTCGGATTTGTCACATTAATGACATTGATAAATATGAAGGACTACCAGTACCATATTGAAGGAATTGACATTGAATATGAGCATTTCAGCACTAATCCTGAAATATTTGCAGAATGAATTGGACAGATCATAACGAGTCTGAAAAAAAGTGGAACTATCTCGTTTGCTTCAATTGCTCCCTAACCAGTTAAACGCCATTATTTAGCATCATGGAGGAAATATGGACATATAATTGACTATGTTAACTTCCAATTCTACGCATATGATAAGCTCAATGTTTCTCAATTTATACGAAACTGGGAAAAAAAAGGTGTGATAGAAAATACAACCTAGTCAAGTCAGATTTATGACATTGAAAAATATGAAGGACTAGCAGTAGTCATGAGCAGATTTAATGATTAAAGAGATTAAATAAATAAATATATATATAAGAAATTCACAATTGGAGCCAGCCACTAATACAACACACAGAAAATCCAAAACCAAAAAAAGTGTTTCGCCCATAGACCAAACTGTGTGTGAATTAAGGTTTAGTTCTTCGTAAATACTATCTAGTGATTCTTCTTTTTTTTGAAGAGTAAGTTCTGATTTTATGTTTGCCCTCTCAATCATCCAGGTTTAATGGTCTTGGCAATTCTCATTCCCAGCTAGCAGCAACTTGGCGCTGTCAAAGTGGGTTGGTCAATAACCCCCAATAAAAGGCCACTCCAGTTTTTTATTACTATTAAATAATATCTATCAATTTCAAAACCTTGTGGTTGGCTTAATTAATTTAACTCTATGCAAATATTAGTTCTTAACAAAGTGCTCACTTGTATTTTCTAACTGTTCGTGACTTCACCCGGGCCCTGCCCTCAATTTTACTCCTTTCATTTTTTTCATTTGTCTTAAACATATGTCATAAGTATCATTTAAGAAAAATCAACATTTTTTTATTAATCCTTCGTTAACTTTCCTTTTAGTAATTAATACTCAGATACTGCTAATTTCAATTTTACGGATTTAGATAACTAATAAATAAATAAAAGGGCTCAATCGCATAGGGCTACCCCTTGCCTTACACCTACCTCTTATTTCAGCTTCTAAACTTTGATTCAAAGAAAATTATAAATTTCCTTTCTAAAAGGGCGAAAGCCAAAATTTTCCACGGACGAATCTACCGTCCTATCCTGCGCCTTTTCCACATGCGCAGGATAGCAGCGGCACCGCCCTCTCCTTTGTCAGGCCCACGCCAGACGCCCCCACCGGTTTTTACATAGCACCATCCTCATTCCATTCTGCTTCTTTGACCCTTCAAAACTTTTAACGGATTAATTAATCCCAAACTTACCCCTTTTTTTTTTTTCAATTTCATCCTCCTCACCTCTTCTATGTGCAAGACCAAAATGGCAACCAATGCGTCGGAACCTACGCCGTTCCGATCTTTACGAACTCGCCCGAGTCAGTCCCCTCGATCTCAAACAACTCGCTCGAGTCAGTCCCCTCGAACTGGGTCAAGTCGCCTGAGTCAGTTGCCAACGCCCTCCATTTCTAATCCCAGCACCAGCGCACCTTACACTTCCACTTTATCTTACACGAAAGCGACGTCGTGGGAGACTTCAATTTCAAGCCGAACTTCACTCTCAAGCCTTCGCGAATCCCTCTCCGAAAACCCTCACATCTACGACATATCGGAAATCCGAGCCGCCACCAACAACTTCTTAGCTAAACGCTACGCCTCCTCTTCCTCCTCTGCCAACTCCACCGCGGCCTGCTGGCGCTGCAACCTCCGTGGCCGTGACACTGTCGTTTTCCAACGCAAGTTCCGCCGCAAAATTCAAACGTCTCAACTCAAAGAACGATTATCAATTATTTGCCGGAGCAACCACGTGAGTGTAATCAAACTCCTCGGCGCTTCCATCTCCGGCGATCATATTTACCTTGTTTATGAGTTTATCGAAGGATCGAATCTCGTTGAGTGCTTGAGAAACCCTAGGAATCCGAGCTTTACTGTTCTATCGACTTGGATTTCCAGAATGCAGATCGCCACTGACCTGGCTCACGGCCTCGATTATGTTCACAACAACACCGGATTAAATCTTAGCATTGTTCATAACCACATTAAGAGCGGTAGCATTATCGTTACAGAGCCTTCTTTTAATGCCAAGATTTGCCATTTTGGAACGGCACAGCTTTGTGGCGAAACAAACGAGAACGAAACGCAAGAAATCGGCTATTCGAAACGCGTAACAGAAATCGAAGAAGTAATCGAAGAAGGTAAAGCAGCGAGTTTTAGGAAATTGAAGAGATCTGATAGTGGAAAGAGGCACTTCGAAGGAATGAGAGGTTACATGTCACCGGAGTTTATATCCAGCGGCGTCGCGACTCAGAAATCTGATGTTTTCGCCTTCGGAGTGGTGATTTTGGAGCTATTTTCAGGGGAGGAGCCGTTAAAATACCAGTATGATAGAAACACAAGTAATTTTCTACGGACGTCTGTGATGGATACGGCGGCGGAAGCGGCGGAAGACGGAAGAGAAGGGTTGAGGAGGTGGATTGACAGGAGATTGAATGATTCGTTTCCAGTTGAGGTGGCGGAGAAGCTGATACGTCTAGCGTTGGATTGCGTACACGTGGATCCGGATAAACGACCGGATATGGGACGCGTAGCAGGGAAGATTTCTAAGCTTTATCTGGAGTCGAGGATTTGGTCGGATAACGTGAAAGTTCCAACAGGCATTTCGGTCTCCTTGGCGCCTAGATGAGTTGGAAAAATGGCGGCTTCATTAATTTAATCCTTACTTTTTTTTTTATTTAAATTTTATATTATTATCGTCATTGTTGATTTTGTAGGTAGGCACAATTGATTTTGACAGAAGTCGAAAAATTCAAATTTTTATGTTGTGTTTATTCAACAAAACACAATTAATTTATTGTATATTTCTTGTGGTTAATTTTTTATAATCTTCCCCATTAAAATGCTAGGAATTCTTTAAAATAATACCGAGTCTTTGCATGACTTCTATGAAATTAGGTCTTGAATAATTCCAGGGAATAAAGACGAAAAGGAATCCCAACTCGATTTCCTTTCTAGAAATTTAGAATGAATCAAAGTGGAGGCTTAAAAAGGAAGGCAATCAGAATATTTCAATTTTCAAAGTCTTTAACACACGAGTGGTTTGGTGGCTTCATCTGCAGATGACAATGATACTGCTGTCAATGCCGACACCAGTCAACATTCAAGGAGAAAATTTGATAAATTTCTCTAATTTCATATTTCTTTCATGCCAAACAAAGGAAAATTGGATAATAGTTTTGGTTACATAGCTAACAGATAATGGAATTCGAAGTCATACGGTATTTTCCCAACAGTGATGGATTTGTTGCCATTGTTATGGCTCGTGAAGCATTCCACCATTGATTTCCTTAGTGAGCCAGACGTAGGTAATTGCTGGCATACCCACTGGACCATTGAGTTTATATCCATCGCAAAATCAAACATGTTTCTAAGCAGAAGCTCAGGAAATGCAATCTTTTTTGTGTTGGTCGCCACAACTGAAGCTTGCAGGTACTCTAGTTTTGATTTCTCCAGGCCAGTTGCAACTCCAACAGCCGTGTATATTCTCACCTGTCAAGGTAATTTATTCAGAGTAGATTTTCCATGGCAGAGCTCCAAGCTTGATTAGCTAAACTTACTGCTGGCGAAGATCGAGTTCCACAGCACAGAACAATTTGATATTTGGATCCATTAACTCAAGTCCGTGAAGTTTCCGGACGATGGCCTCTTGATCTTCCTTGTCACCCTTTAGAGAAATCATGTTTTAGGATAACATGGGCGAAGCTCTAAAACCAGAAGCAAAACATTAACTCTGTTTAGCATTGGGACAGTAAAAATGTACCTCTTTTATGTTTGAAGGTGCTGGTATCCCCAGAATATAGTGCTCCATTGCTTGAGCACTTATTGTATTGCCCCCAACGTTGAAAGTTGCCTGAATTCGATGTGATATTGTTGTTTTGCCAAGATTAAGCTAAAATCTGATATCCATGGACTTTCAAATTCCATAAAGAACCAATCAGGAAACTAATTCTGAATGTAACTTGTTCATCAGTGCCAAAAATTTTTCGGGAGTATTAGGCACGCCATATTGGAGATATCCCCTTAATGGTAAAAGCAATAGATATATAATGAAGGGTTTACGTAAAAAGAAAAAAAAAAAGAAAGAAACCAACAGAACGTGTAATGCGATCCTCAATCATGATATGTGCCCTAGCTAACTCATATAAGCTTTGGATAGTGTAAGATTAAGCAAAAACCAAGCAAAGACCTCTCTCAAGATGAATAAACAAAATGAAAAATATAGCTTCTTTTCCATGCTATACATGCCTGATACAGGCATTGTATATGTTGATCCAGAATGCTAATTTCTGCTGATAAGTCGACGCTGTCAGATCCGCCTTCTGGAGATTGCTCATTAAGACCCTGCAGATGGAAACACAGGAAATATCAGAATTTATCTATTCTTTGATTCTCTTGCTTTCTGGGGATATAAACAAGATTCTGAAAATTCTGTATGAAAATTCACTGGACAGATATTTCCTGTTCGTGCTTGTAAGCAATTCAGCATACCTTAGCTTTTGAAGTAAAGGAATAGAACTTGAACTCGAAATGCACTTTGGGTCCATAGAGCTTGATGTGATCAGGTTTTAGCAAAGCCTACACCTCTTGGAATAGATTCTTCATTCTTCCTTATCGAAGATACCATACGGGTCTCGTTGCCTTGATTCCTTCCGTAACGCAAGACTCGTCTTTGGATTCAGGTGTTTTCTACCCTAAAGCTTCTTGAGCTTAAGAGAGTGTTCATAGACCTGGTAATAGTGCCTGACTTCTCCAGTTCCATTGCTTTTGATGTTCTGAGTAGCCTGACGAATATGAAGTTTAAACACTTCATGATATTCTCAGATAGCTTGCTCGGATGCCAATTCTGGCTGTTCTCTTCTGAAAGAAGTGTACTAGGTAAAGATTTTGGCTAGAGGTCCCATTTGGACTTTGGAATACTTTCCCTTGGCTGAAAAAAAAAAAAAGCTCAGTATACACAGGCAAACTCAATCAGAATCTTCCTTAACATTAAAATCAATTTCCATATTAGCAGAATCTAAGGGGACAAAATAACCGGGCCTTACCTTGGGTGATGGATGTCGAGGGTCTCACGATGGTGAGGAAATCTACAACAAACCACTTTTCCTTGGAATCCTCTCTTGAAATTTAACCTCCCCTTGGTACTGGTTTTCTTTCTGATCAGAAACTACCCGTGAGTTTCCCGTCCTCATTCGGAATCCATAAATGATCAATTTATTGCAGAGTTACGCTCAGACATTTATTGAGACCCATCACCTATATATGGATGTCTGTCTGTTTAGTCACGGCTCATATCTTGTATCTGGAGTTACAAGATAAACCAAATGAAGGAGCAGGCAATGAAAAGAACAAATTGAAACAAGAATAGCCAAAAGTCAGGGCCCAAAAGAAAAATGAAAGAGAATAAAGACGGCTTAAGTAGTTGAATAAAAGTTATATTATGCACCCGCGCTTTATTTTTCCACATTCAATAAGCATAAAATATAGATCTATACCAAAACAATGAAACAGGCATTCCAGAAGCCAAACTTACAATCTCCAAGGATATGTTATTAACTGACAAGTCACCTTGGCTGGCAATGAAATATGATATAATAATTATACAAAAAAATATATAAAAACATATAAAAAAAATTTTAAAATTTTATAAAAATAATATATGAATTTTAAAAAAAGGTCTTATTTGATCAATATAAATCATAATACAATAATTTTTATATTTTATATGAATAAACATAATATAAAAATATAAATTATCAAATTTATTTAATAGTAAAAGCTTGATGTTAAAGTTGAAGTTCTAAGTTTTAACTAATTGTTGGCTCAAGATTTTGTTTGTTCTGCAGAAAATAAGACAATAATTTTTGAAAAATAATTTTTAAAAAATATTTATATTTTTTGAATTAAAAGAGATTTTTTATTATTTGAATGAATTAATTAAAAATATTTTTCGTTGTTTAGTTATTTTTTGAAAACTTTGTTTATTTAATAATATTAATATAACTATTAAAATATTAAAAATGATTTATTATTAAATATATATTAAAATTATTTATTAATAAAATTATTAATATTAAAAAATAATTATATTTTAATAATATTTAATATTAAAATTTTATATTAATATAAAAAATACTTAAAATAAAACTATTTGTTATTCTTTGTTTTATTTATTAATATATGATTTATTAGTATAATATTATTTATTTATTAATATAATGTTATAATATTTATTTATAATTATATTCATTAATATATTATTTATAAATATAATATTATTTATAAGTAAAATTATATTAAAAAATATTGATAAATAATTTTATTCGTAGAAAGCTATTTTTTGAAAAATATATATTTTTTAAACTCATAAGATAATTTTAAAAAAATGATCTCATTTTTTATTAATTAATAAATACTTTTTTATTAATCAACTAATTTTCTTTCAAATAAATACTTAAAAATATAAATATTAATTTTAAAAAGTCATTTTTCGGAAAACAGATCGGATTTATTCCCGTAAAGAAAACTATTTTTTGTTTATTTTCAGTAAAAAATGAATTAGAGAAAAGAAAAAATTCCTTTTGACACGTGGGTTATGCCTATGGCTTGGCGAGTGGCGACTCCTTAAAGTCCTAAAACCCAAACAAAACCCTCACAACCTTGCCGCCCCGGCCCTTGTCTCCTCTCTGCATCGTCACTTCTCACTTTCCACGGCGAAGTGTGAGCAAGTTCGCTTGGAATCGAACTCCCAACAAAAACCTAAAGTGTTTCCCTTGCCTATTTCTGTTCTAAGATGTTATCTCGTTGTTTTCGCTCCATTTCAATTGTTCCAAGAAACTTCATTCCCATCACTCTGTCTCATTACATATCCAAACCTCAAAACAACATTCCTTTTCATAGAATCAAAGCAAGTTTGAGTTCTGTCTCAACTCTAACATGTATAAGACCAAACACTGTAACTTTTCAAGGTAACCCATTTTCTATTTTATACTAAATATTACTGTGTGTGTATATATATATATATATATATATATATATTTCCCATTGATAATGAGTGAATAATTAGCAAAAAAAAAAAAAGATGATGAATAGCTTGGTAATTGATGTAGTAAGTTGTTTTTCCTTTAGATAAAATAAGGAAAAACTCCCATTTTTCACTTGGTATTTCTTTTAGTTGCCTGTTTAAGGCAAGAGCATGGATAAGGGAACTTTACTGTGACAGAATTCTATATGTTATGTGTGAAACCATTTATGGGATATTTCAAGCAAGGGTCTTATAGGTTCTGTTCACTTGGTATTCTTGCGAATTATATTCAAAGACATAATGAATTTCAGTAAAATTGCCTTGGAACTAGTTAGAATAAGGTTTGGCTTCTTCATTGCAGTGAGATCTATAGCAACTGTTGTTGATTCAGTTGCTGGGTTTGGTGAGGTGGTCGTTGGGCCACAGCGGAAGTATTACTTCCTAGGTGGGAAAGGAGGTGTTGGGAAAACAAGCTGTGCTGCTTCTCTTGCTGTAAAATTTGCACATCATGGGCACCCAACCATTGTGATATCAACTGATCCTGCTCATTCCTTAAGTGATTCTTTTGCCCAGGTATTGAAATATGCTTTGCATTTTAACTCTCAAGTGAAAATGTTCAATATGTTTCTGATTTCTGAATTTATTTATTGATGAAAGTTACTTTAAGGGATCACTTCTTTGATGATGTGCTTTGTTCATTATCTCAAGGATTTGACAGGAGGGGTTCTTGTTCCTGTTGAAGGATTGAATTCTCCTTTGTTTGCTCTTGAGGTACATGATTTAATTTTGATTTTCTTATGGTTGATTTTTTCCACTTTACCTTATTATTGGATGCATATTTTTAAACCTTAGCAACATGGCAGATAGACCCTGAGAGAGCTAAGGAGGATTTCCGTTCTGCAAGTCAAAAGAATGGCGGGAGTGCTGTCAAAGATTTTATGAATAACATGGGCCTTGGAATGCTTGCTAATCAGGTGGATATAAGTGCTGCATTTATCCTGTATAAAAGTTTCTAAGGACTATCTTTCCATTACATATAGAACCTCTGACTATCATTCTATTTATTATCATTATAATGGAAGAAGTATTTGTTAAACCTTCTTTTATGTCTTGCATGAGTGGTTCTGAAAGTTTGAGTAGCTACTAGCTAGTGAACATAGTACTGGTCAATGACATGGTAGAGTAGTGCCTTGCTGCTGATTTTATTTATAGTTTTTGCTTATAGTTTCTCTACTTTAACTAGGATTCTGATAGGGGAGTTTGTTTTGATTACTGAAATAGATTAAAGAAAAAAGAAATATATCTTTTTTGCTTCCATATGAAGCACGTATAAGAAGGAAGAGCAATAGTAAAACATTTCTTAGCTCTGTGGGCTGCATTCTGCCCTACATTAGGAGCTCCTTGCACCTATTTCTTACCCAATCTCCCTACGAAAAGTTTCGTTGGTACTCTAGCAATTTTTTCTAAATTTTGTTTAATTTTTTTTCTTTGTTTCTTATATTTGACACTTTTTGTTAATCATTTATAGTTAGGGGAACTGAAACTAGGAGAGCTGTTGGATACCCCTCCACCTGGTTTAGATGAAGCTATTGCAATTTCAAAGGCATGTATATTCCTTGATCCATTTCAAATTAACTTGTACCCTTTGTTATAATTTATTTTCCTTCATTTGAGACTGTTTGTTATCCTAACCCTGCCGTTGCTTTGTAGGTTATGCAATTTGTTGAATCACCACAGTATAGTATGTTTAGCCGGATAGTGTTTGATACTGCACCCACGGTCAGTGGACACTAAATTGCTTTCAAACTTTAGCATATTGAACTGCTTTTGAAGTTAGTAAATAGTCATATTTTTTATTAAATATTTTACAGGGCCATACACTTCGGCTTTTGTCCCTTCCTGACTTTTTGGACGCATCCATTGGCAAAGTTATGAAGGTATGGAATGAAACATTTGTTTGAACTGGAAGAACTGGAAGCAGATCAGTTCATCTGTTCACTTTGTTCGAATTTATGTGTAATGTAAAGAACCTCGTAGATATAACAAGTGTCTGATCTGTTTTACTTTTGTTTCTCATTGTGGATAACCTTTTCCTGTTTCTGTTTCTACTCTTTCATATTGATTGAAATTGTGTTTTTGAGGAATCCAGCTCAAGCAGAAGTTAGCTTCAGCAACCTCAGCCATCAAATCTGTTCTTGGGAAAGCAGAAGAACAACAGGATGTGGTAAGTACAAATGTTTCTTTGGAAGGTTTTAGTCCTTGTTTAAATTCTAACCATGCTGTCTTGGAATATTGTAGCCTGACAAACTAGAGCAACTGAGGAAGAGGATGACAAAAGTGCGAGACCTTTTCCGGGATTCCAATACCACTGAGTTTGTTATAGTAACCATACCATCGGTAACACCCTGTTCTCCTTTTGTCGACATGATGTAACTTTTTATGTCTTGAAATACCTTTCTCAGTCTTGAATGATCAATCAAGTATGCTTCTGGTCCTTTGGAGACAACTAAGTTCGCTTTTGATTTAAGAATAAAAATTTCTGCTTAGTTTGTTGAGAAGATACTGTACTTGTAACTTGTAGCAGTGCATTATTTGTTGCATTATTGTCCAAAACACATGCGTTGCCTCTATGTTGGCTGGCTTATCAAACAAAAGCGACTAGAATGAGGAGATGTGCATGTGCTGGCCTGTTGGGAAGCAATTAGAAGAGGCCAAACTATAATTTTTAACTGCTTCAATGTATTAATTCATCTGTAATTGATATTTGAAATTACACTTTGAAGGTAATGGCAATAAATGAGTCATCGAGGCTGCACGCCTCTTTGAGAAAGGAACATGTTCCTGTTCAGAGGCTTATTGTTAATCAGATTTTACCTCCGTCCACATCGGATTGCAAGTTTTGCACTACGAAAAGGAAGGTAAATCTATTCTTCTCTTCTGCCAACTTAGCAGCAAGCGTCCGATAACTGTATAAGCATAGCTTCAATCTGTTTGTGAATGATGCAGGACCAAATGCGTGCCATTGATATGATTAAGAATGATCCAGAACTTGCTAATTTGAAGATAATTCAGGCACCATTAGTTGATTTAGAGATAAGAGGTATTCCAGCTCTTAAGTATATGGGAAATATGGTTTGGACATGATTTTTTGCATAATTATGAAATGATGTATTTGTAGAAGATACTTCTCTTTCGTTATTATTATTTTTTATTTCAAATCCTATGTTTGAGCTCACAAAGTGACATCTACATAATGTCAATTGTTTTGTTTTATTATTATTATTGATCAGTTTCTTTTCAAGAAATTAACTTTTTTTTTTTTTCTTTTGGGCTGATTTTCAGACTTTTTTCATTTATTTCGTCAATCAATTTATAAAATTTGTTTTTATTAGCTTAACGTATGCACATCTATTACGTGGACGAAATTTAAAATTTCATTATTATTTACATAAGAAATTAAAAAATTATAGTTAAAATCAACTTTAGAAAAGAAAATGTCAAAATTTTTTTAATAAAAACACACAAATTTTATAATGAAAAGTAAATTAGATTTATTTTTGAAAGAAAGTAAATCATTATATTTATATATATTTTTATTACATAATTTCATCTTTTTTATAAAATCAACTCAAATTTTAAATATAGCATATATGTCTAATGACTTATTTATTTAATAATTGAGATATCTAATGATTTATTAAATTTTTAACTAAAGCAACGTAAAGAGTAATTTAAAGTAGTAACTTGTAAAGTTTATTTTGCCGCATATCGACTGTGCATTGATGTTTTGGCAAAATGCTATCATATTAAGTATAAAATAATTTAATAAAATAAAGGAAAAAATTAAACGTAATTTTTTAATATTAGTATAATATTCTTCCATCATATAGAGAATTAATAAATTGGTTCAAAACCAAAATTAAATATTAATAAACAAAATAATTTTAAAACCAAAATCATGCTGTCAGCTGTTCTCGGTGTTGCTTTGAAAAGGAGACAAAAGACAAAAAAAAAAAAATGGTTTCAAGCTTTTTTTTGGAGATACTTCTTTTTTTTATATATATAATTAACAAAGAAAAGGATTTAAGAGATATTTCAAAAAAGAGTTTTAAGTGTCACTTTCGAATTATAAATAAAATAAAGAAAAAATTAAGGTAATTGGAGAAAGAGGAGACGGTAAATATGCCATGACCGTCAAGTAACGTTGACTGTCAGTCTCTTTCTCGTAACTCTCTCTTGTTAACTGACGGAAGCAAAACACGGTACAAAACCTCGTGATGTCCGTCACGACCTTTTCTTTTTTCTTTTTATTTTTTTTTTCAATTTCTTCCATTTTTAAGTAAACATTTTCTATTCAAATAAAACTGTTTCCTTCACTCCACTCCTCATTTCTGCGGCGTCTCGACCCCGCATTTCCTTCTTAATAATTTTTACTAATATTCTTATGGATATTTATCTTAATTAATTTCCTTCTAATATTATTCTGCTCCTCTGGTATGTTGGAAATCATTCTCTTTTTTCTTTTTCTTTTTTTAAAGAATGAGAGTCTGCTTGCCATTAATCGACAATTTGGGTTTTCTAATCTGAACTTTTTGCTGTTAATCCATTGGTTATCTTGATGCCATTGGGACTTTACTTGATCTCTTTTGGGGTAAAATCTTGCTGATCTATTTGATTTTTTTGGCTGCAAATCCATTAGTTAAAACTAAAAGAAAGTAAAAATATTTAGTTATTATTGAATCTGGGTTTTGCATTTTGTTGCTAACTAACTAAACTTCATTATCTATTTTTTGTTCTATGATTGGTCATTTCAGGAGGAAGCACAATTTGGGGTTAAGAGATTTTATCTACATTTGAAAAAATGATTACATATGAGCAAGAGCATGATTTTGTTAACTGGGGTTTGCAACTATTTAATAGTGACCCTTATGCTAATTGTGGATATGGCGGCGTGCTAACTCAAGAAGATGGGGAGTATTACCCTGGATATTATTTCAAGGAGGATCATTACGACGCTGGAGGATGTTGCGACGTAGAAAATGATGAGGCTATTGCTCGTACTCTTCAACTTCAAGAACTGTCACAACTTGCAGTTGTGGGATCTCCAAACCAAGGGGAGGAAGAAGAAGAAGCGGAGGAGGAAAAAGAACTGCAATTGCAAATGTCTGGCTATCCACAAGATTGTACCAATCAGTCTGTTGGGGACTTCGGTTCTGGTATAAGCAAAATTCTTAATTTACAGTTCAATATTTGAAGTTGCTGATATGTCTTTAATGTGGCATTGCTGTGTTTATATTTTGTGATTTGCAGGGCAGGATTGTGGTAAAGAAGAGCAAGATGATACAGCACCTTCCAGTTCATGTTCTAGCCCTGAAGAAAAGTTGTTATGCGTGGAGGATTGGTCATATTCGTTGGAGCTAACAGATGAGTATGCTCTTGATGGTGAAGTGGGGAAAAAGCTGAATCAAATGGTTCCTGTTCCTGTAAGTGTTACTATTAGCTTTAGATTCTTGATTATGACATTTCAATTAGAGCTGTAGTTTATGCCTCTAGTTTTCTTTCTGATTGTGTGTAGCATGTTCCAAGAATCAATGGTGAAATACCCTCGGTTGATGAAGCAACTTTAGATCATCAAAGGCTACTGGAAAGGTTTGCTTTCTTTGTTTCCTGAAACTGAAACTTACTGTGAATTTTTTATCTTCTTTTTTTTTTTTTTTTTTGCTTTTTTCTTTTTGTCATAAGATTTTTTTCCAGCTATTTTTGTGGTTCTGTTGCTTTTTTCATATTCCCCTTTGGTTGACCTATTTTTTTTAATATATGATTCTGGAAATTCTTTTGCCATAACAGATTGCAGGTCTATAATTTGGTGGAGCTTAAAGTTGAAGGAGATGGTAATTGTCAGGTTAGATTTCAAAGCTTAAAGCATAAAATTTAAAATGTTAATGTGCAGTGGTTTTAAGAGTAAATGTGTAATGTCTTATATTATGAAGTCTCTGTATAAGATTGATGAGGCTTCCAAGGAGTTTAATGTTGTGACAGAATAATGCATGTTTAGCAAATAACATATAACAGATGGTAAAGTATATGATGTCTGTTTTCTGTTTGTTTCTGTCACATTTAGTCCATACCTTCTTTCCCTGGCATGATGTAGTCATACTTATTGTAAGTACACTTGTATGATCTCATGTGGTTTGAAGCTGGCATGGATATCAACCAAAAAAGATCTAGCATGCGGACAAATGTTTTTGAGACATATAGCATCAATATAATGGAACTTTTACTGTGTCTAAACTGTCATTACACATACTTAGGTTTCACTTGTCCATATACAGCATGGATGTTTGTTGATGTTGGTTCCCTCTTAACATGAACTTTTAGGATCTTGAGTCCCACTGCTGGTAAAACTTTTGAGTGTTGCTATTAACTTTAAATCTCATTCCTGCTTTGATGCTTTTTAATTCTTGATCGGTTTTCTTTTTTTGCTCCTTACATAGTTCCCAGTCATGGAAGCTCACTAATTGTTACTGCAGTGCTTAATGCAAATTACATACCTGATGTGTCATTAATTTCATGATGTTGCCAGTTCCGTGCTCTATCTGATCAATTGTATCTAACTCCTGAAAATCATGAAGTTGTGAGAAAGCAAGTTGTAAATCAGGTTGGCCTTTCACTTACGATAATAAAGTTTGGCTTTTTAGTTTGTTGAGCTTGTGTTATGGTCTTTCATTGAAATCATCGTGCATTGCACATAAATTTTGATGTTTAACATTTATTGTCTTGCAATATCTTGCACAATCAGCTTAAGTCTTATCCAGATATGTATGAGGGGTATGTTCCCATGGCATATGGTGACTATCTGGAGAAGATGTCCAAGTATTTTTCTACTCCTCCTTGACTTAACCATTCTTTCTTTTTGATACTTCTTGACCTTTCTTTTTAATATTGTGTATGCTTATAGGAGTGGTGAATGGGGTGATCATGTCACTTTGCAGGCTGCTGCAGATTTGGTATGCTCCAGCTATGTTGATTTTGTTTTCTCTTGTTTGTGATAGATTCTACATTTCCTCACCCCCCCCCCCTCCTAAAATTTGGTTAAATTGTTTAATTTGTCTAACCTGCATTTCATATTTCTGTTGTCAATCATCCATCTAGTTTATCCTGCAAACCACTATGAATTTAGACGTTTGTAAGATAGGTGTTGCCAATTTCTATGTGCACTGCTTTGTAGTGTACAATCATTGTTTTAATAAGAAAAAATAGTATTGGTTATTGCAATCTTAAAATATTTAATGATGCAAAAAATGGCTGTCTAATGTATATGTATGCTAATTGCTTGTTGCAGTATGGTGTTAAAATATTTGTCATAACATCTTTCAAGGACACTTGCTACATCGAGATTCTTCCAAATGTCCAAAGGTCAAAAGGAGGTACAATTACTATTGCTTTTGCTTCCGTTAGTTTCTTTCATAGAATCTATGAATAAATTCTTTGTGCTGGACTATCATTGAAATTCTGATTGCAATTAAGATATTGAATGTCATTTAAAAATTTCCTCCTAGCATTTGGTCATCTATTAATATATATCAGTAGTAGCTGTCATTTTGTCATATAGTTTGACCATTTAGGTTATGTTGGTTACTTGATCAGATATCATCTCCATTCTAGATTTACTATTCTTTCTTTTTACGTAGTGGTTTTCTAATGAACAAAGATACACTACAACTAAACCATTTTGATGTTCGGTGGAAATTTTACATTAAATTAATTGGTTGGATCTGTTTTCTGCAGTTATTTTTTTGAGCTTTTGGGCAGAGGTGCACTACAACTCAATATACCCATTTGGAGGTAAATATCCGCCCTTGGAATTATTTCTTATGTATACATTTTTTCTGAAGAATATTGGAAGTGCATTGGTTTATTGTATTGAATGCAGCTAAGACTGTGCTATAAATTCTAAGGCTGCTTCAGATTTAGGTCAAGTTGACCTTTTTTACTTACTGGTGGTGAATTTGGGTTGGCCAGTTATTTTTCTATCTCTAAAACATTTTCAGTCAGTATTTGATGGAAAGATTACCCTGTGTATGTCTTAAATTGTCCAAGTTTTGAAAATCAATAACTTGCTTAGAGACATGGAATTATATTCCATATGCTCTGTTTAGGCGTCATAATTGCCATGCTTTGAACTCTTTCTAGCTAAGAGATTCCATATAGTAGTTCTGGAAACTGGATCACTCAAATAGAGTTTTCGTTAGTGCTTCTTTCTATTGAGTGGTGAAGCGCAGTTTCTATTGCACCTCAGATGCACTGACGATGGCTGTCATTGTATTTAGATAATTTTCTGACAATTTAAGATCTTTTTAAGTTTCTGGTTTGAGGGGATGTTAGGTGCATAATATGATTTGCTAGGTGGGTTTCAGATGACAGTTCCTTCATCTGTGGATTGTTTTGTTGGATTTTGTGCATAAAGTTGCACAGTTTCGATAAGGATTCTAGTCAAGGCATATGTGCTTTTATGTTGCCTTTTAACTAAACCAAGGGTGAAGGAGCATTTCAGGAATGGAAAGGTGTATGCGGGAGGATGGAACTATTTTGGAAGCACTGAAGAAACAGTCATTTAACATATTGTGAAACTGTGAATCAGTCGTTTTTTTAAAATCTGTCTGTATGTTGTTGCAAATTGATAATACATGGTTTATGTTTACCATCTTTATTCAGATGTGCCTGCATTTGGCACAAAGAAGAAGAAAAGATGGCGAATGTTTCGGAACAAGCATTTGAAGTCACCAGATGAATATCAATGAATGTGCTGACAACTTAAAGTTAAAACTACTGGGGTTTTTTTCTTTTTTTTAAATCGCTCTTGTTGCTTTTGCAAGAAGCACATCAGTTATTTACTACCATGTGCGATACAATGTTTGATTTTAAGGATAGAAAGCAAAGCAAGGTCAGAGACACCGTCTTGCTTCAATGCTCCACTTGATTGTAAATTTCTTGGATACAAATCCATCCTCGTTAATTTTTCAAATAAAAAAATATTTTCCTTTATGTTAGACTTGCATGCTTGTAGATTCTTTTTCATATGTTATTATGTATATAAATATAAGATAATAAATATATTATTGTAAATATATCTTGAGGTCGAGCATCTTAAATCTATCTTGGACCTGACCCAACAGTTAAAGTGGGCTGGAACTGGCTGTCTTAGGATGGGCCCGAACCGTAGGATACTGAATACTAATCTTTTTGTCATCCTAATTACAGGCAAGCGCAGTATGGAACAAAACAAGTTTGAGTTGGCAAATTTAGGGAAAAATGCTGGACTAAGCAGAAACCTAAAGTTTAAGAATTAAGACCAAATTGGAAGAGTCATCAGCTATTACAAGAAGATCAGACCAAAGGCGCCGATCAATTCATTGTGTTGGTTTCCTCCATTCTCTTTATCTGTTTTTTATGAGGTAATTTATTTAAGAAAGATTTTATGCAACTCTTCAGTCAAAATTTTATTAAAGTCTCCTAACCATGTAAGAATGGTCCACCATATTCCATCCCAAATCCAATACAGAAGAGATTTAATTAATTTATTAACTGTTTTTTTTAATATTTTTCACTATCTATTTAATTGGAACTCATATCTAAAATATATTCGATGAACATAGATATAAAAGTTCCAATAAACAAAAATACAAAAATTTTATGTTTGAAATATATTAAAAAAAAAAACGTATTCTGTCAAATACGTATTTATATCCAACACTCATTTACAATCCGAATAACTGAGGGATTAATTTAGGTTCAATACGCATGCCCATGAAGAACTCCAAACTAGAGCAATTCATTAATGGCTAGGTAGATTGAAAGCCATAAACTAGAGCCATTCTTTGAAAAATAAAATTTAAAACCAGTTTTTTTTGGGTACATTCAAAACCAATTCTTTGAATTGCTACACATAAACTTAAAATCCGATCACATATATATATATATATATATATACCTAATGAAAAAAGGGCAAAAAAGAAGGCCAGGGAGAAACATAGTAGTCTCTAATTAATTTATTTTTATTCATCCAAAACAACATGCAACTTCTTCTCTGTTTTTACTAAATTCTCTCAAAATTTCCCTTCTTTGTCATGACATCCTGTCACCGATTGCAACAATGCAATCTCATTGGCAGAGAATTCCAATTCAAAGTTTGCAACCAAATCAAACTCAAAAGGAGGCAAAGTAGGCTCAGCCCTCGAAACCACACAGTTCTTCAGCTTATCTTTGTTGTCAGAGAAAACTTTTGCCTGAGAAAAATTCAAGGAAGGCGAATAATCCGATGAAAGCAAGGGCGACCCAGAGGAGAAAGGAACCAAACCAGTGGGGGTGGATAGAGCAGGAGTAGTGTCACTAGGCAAGTTGATGCCAGTGCCAGTAGCTGCAATGATCGATGGCTCAGCTTGACGCAAGAGCCATGCTATGGTCTCACCGTCCGTCTTGTGCCCAAGTTCTCGAGTGAGCTGGAAAATCCTAGCAGCACAGACAGGCGGCAGCCTGATGCGCCTGTCTCTGCCATCAACCTTTGCATGGCGGTCTTTAGTTGTTTTGCTGCTGGAGACCAGTTTGTTTTTCGAGGTACTTGGCTTGTTTTGGGAAAAGGACCTCGGTTTTCTCGTCGAAGGATTTGACAGAGGCATCTCTAAACCCATGTTCTTCGAGGCCATTGGTTATTAGAGAGGGACTTCAGTAGGGTTTTCAGGGTTTATATAATATATGTGACTTTGTTTTCTGAGATCAGAAAGAGAATGAAAAGGCCTTTGTCTTTGAATACAGGAAAATGGAAATTTCAACTGACAAAATGTATTCTGTCGTAATTTTGTGGTACTTCGTTTACAAATGAGCTCTAAAAACATTGAGTTTCTTCTAGTAACGTGCCAATGGTGATGTAAGCCCATAAGTATATACATACATATAAATATATCTCTCTATCTCTTCCATATATACATATACGCTAATAAATTACCATTGGATTGAATTTGATTAGTAGAATCATGCCAAGTAAACCAATATATGGTTAACATATATGTACATTTAAGAGAATGTGCTGTCCTGTAAAGGTGTTTGATAATTATTTTCTTACCGTATATGGATATAATTGGGGAATGCACATGGCCATTTTTGAGTTGTGTTGAGCAGACTCTTGCTTGGTTCCAGCTGATATCCCTTCTGATTACGTATTTAAGACTAATACTCAGCCAAACATGAAAATAAATGTTTGCTTAGTTGTCATTAAAAATAATTAGCAAGTGCAGTAGTTGCTTTAGAAATCAATACTATGTATTTAATATAGAAATCGGATTAGTTCAAGTGATAAAAAGAATTTATTTTTCTTTCATTTGTTTGAATTTGAATCTATTGTGAAAAAATAATTTCACGTGAATTTGTTAAACCCGACATAAATAAATTTTTTTAAGCTGATCCAAAAAAGAAATGTATTAACCAAATCTAAACCGCTAAACAAAAAATATATAGAAAACTGAATTATGGTTTATTTCGTTGAGAAAAAAATATTAAAGTAAGGCAATCTTTGCAATGGTGAACGTGAGTTTTATAATGATCATAAATATAAGGCGAAACCCAATATATGGAATAGATTTTGATTTTAAATTAGAGGTTGATGTTAATACATTATATGGATAATCGTGTTATTGTAGAATTATAATTGTGCAAGACATATATGGTTTTAAAATTTTGCTAGGCTTTGATTAAGATTTTAATTTAGATATAATTTACTAATTATATAATAATGAACTAGCCTTATTCACGAAATATTATCACATATAATTATTGTTATATAATTAATTAATTATAATTTAAAATTATGTGAAATTTATCAAAATTTTATATAAAACTTATTATAAGTGATGCACCTTTATATAATTTTTTAATTTGATTAAAACCCACTATATGAGTTAAACATTATTTAATATTTTATTATAAAAAAATTGAAACAAAAAAGAAAATTTATTGAACATTATAGTTATTTAAATATGAATTAGAAAAAAAAATGAATGAGTGTATCTACAATTATTTAGAAGGGAGAAAAAAATTAGGAACTACAATTTTTTTTTTTTTTGGTCATCAAGGACTTCAATATATAATTTTAAAGTATTTAAATCCAATTTTTATTTTTTAAAAAAGATTAAGATATTCCTAAAAATATATATCTTCTATAGTACTATGTGGCTTTTGAATAATTTTAGTTGTATCACTTGACTTGTAAAACTCAATCAAAGGTTTTATTATTAGTATAGATAATTAAATTTTTAGAAATTTATATAAATAAAAGATAGCATATAACATGGCTTTTATTTCTTAGAAAACTATATGTAGTAGTATATATGTTGTTAGCGTCAAGGAATGGCCCTAATTAGCGTCGAGGGTTTCCTGTTCATCAAAAGCCATAAGGGTTTGATCATAGAATGGACGAAGATCACCTAAAGGGGCGTTCAGTACGTAGTGGAAATTAGATTGGCAAGTGATGCTTGGGAGAGGTGGTGCAAGCATGGTGTTATCTGCTTTTGCACGACGGAATTGTAAAAGATTTACTTTGCTTAGGGATATTTAAAATTCGTTTTTAATTAATTAATCAATTAAATCAATTTAATTTGATTAATAGATTGATTATTATTAAATTAATATCAATCAATTAATAAAAATAATCTTAAATGAATTTCAATTTTTAAAAATTTTAATCAAAATATAAGAAAATTTAAATATAAAAATATATATAATATAAATCATTTTATTTTATAAATTATTTTTATATATAATATAAATCTCAGCCAATGAATGTTATCACAGAATGTTACAAGGCATCAGCACAAAACTACTCTCAAAACTTCAAAACATGATGCCATATCAAGTAAACACCCAGTTATTATAATTTTAATACATTACATAGGAAGGAAAACAGTAGAAATGATGATAAACGCAGAGATCTGGGTAACCCATCACTGAAGGAATAAAAGGCAAACAACAACAATCTTCATTATACTTATCAATATCTCTTTCAAGCTCAATCTAGGTAACACATCACTGAAAGAATAGAAGGAAAAAGAGTAATCATGTATTCTTCAGATACGTGGAACAAACCTAAAAAAATACAGAAATGGTTTATGCAGAATGAAAGGAAAAAAAAAAAAAGATAAATTGGAAGTGCGTGACTGAGGAAGCTGAATCAAATACATAAACCGACCTAAAACATCGAGCAAACCTGTCTCACTCATTTATGGTAAATCTAATCACCATAGACCACCTCCAAATCAAGACTTTGGTGAATAAAAATCACCCATCCTATGTTATCTCAGGCAAGTCTTTAAGATGAATAAACATAAAAATTTGTTGCTATTATTGCTCACAATGAATTTATCATCCTCAATCAATAGGTTTCTTTCCCTTTTTTCTGAAAGTGTTATCTACATAAAGAAAAGGCAAATAAATAAGGAAATTTATACCAAAACCAATACCAACCAGTATCAGATCAGTCTCCGGGGACAAGGCAAAGTTCAGAACACAGAATTCAATTACATTGATATCAGGAACAAAGGATATAAAAGCAGAAGCAAACAGAGATAGATTATATTATAAATCTTTTACAAACTTATATTATAAATCTTTTACAAACTCCAACTCAATTGAATTTCAAAAATAAACTCTTACAGAAAAAGAAGTTTATCGGCAATTAACTACAGTACACTGCAGGATTATCCAACAACTCGCCTATAAGAGGAAACTCAGAAACATGTTAAGAATATTAAGATCCATATTGCCAGACTATTAAGACCATTAGGGGGAGATTTAAACATAAACAAAGGGGTCTATTAGGAGATTGCTCTAAAAGATGTCATGTTCTGTAGATAACAATAGCAACGCGGCTATGGCTGATCAACTGGGCATTTGCTATCATAGGCCTCTCTTGCATCAAGCATGTCTGGACGATATCGATTAGCAAGAATTTCAACTTGTTCAGCAAAAGACTTGTCCCTATGTGGACCTATATGTTGAACCATCTGGTTCCACCGCTTTCGACATATATCTCCAGACCTATGCTCAATAAGATTGTCCCAGTCCACATCTTCCATACAGCAAGCGTCCAAGCTACAAAGAGCATTCAGCATGCGATAGTCATCAACATCTGCCCATATGCCTTCTGCTACCATGGGAGACGCTAAGCTATCATACCATTTTTTGCAACAATTGGCAAAGGCTCTGGTTTGCATCTTGTCACTAATAGCAGTCCAACAAATATTGTCTCGCAACATTCCATGCTTGGATTTCTTTTCCTCAGAAGCTTTCATACATAAATCCAAGTTCACTAAGTCAAATAAATTCTGGTACTCCTCTTGAGACCAATGCCCTTTACTTGTATTGGTCAGTTTTATTCTACGCCATGTATCTTTTACATGATGCCTATACTTGCCGAGAGTGTCACCCAACAATCTCCAATTGGTTCCATGTTTTTCAACAAACTTGTGGATGACCTCATACTCTTCAGGGGTCCATGGACGCTTCTCATCCCTTTCGAAAAGAACATGAGCTCGATGGTACACACTACCAAGAGGCCTCCAAGGAATGCCGGCTTGAATTTCCTTCCAACAGTTTTTCACTTCAGGGTAAAGTCTACAGTTCAGAACCATATTTACACCTTCATCACCTAATTCATGAGAATCAATGTAATTGGCAACAGCATTCATAAGAATCTCATCTTCTTCTTTTGAGTATCGCCTACCATATACTAAGCCTTCTTTGCCATCCTTGTTCACTTCATCTATAACATCCACAGGAGGGAAAACCTCAACATGATCACAGAAACTCACTTTCTTAGATCTCTCTTTAGGTGTAGCATTTTCAGACTGATTGGTAGAGTCGACACTTTTTCTGGTTCTTGCATCACCTTTATGATGTTTACCCTCAGAATCATTTTTCACTGATTTAGATTTCTTTTTCCTCCCTCTGTTACCATCTTCAGCATCACCAACATCACCCCCTAATTTTCTGCATTCGACCTTATTGCCAGCTGAATCCTCTTTATCAGTATCATTTCCATCAGTTATGCTGCTCATTACAGCAATATGACCACCAATCTCCAGCTTTTGTTTCTTCTTCTTCTTCTTTCGCTTCTCGTATTCACCTTCTTTTCCTTGCACAAACTTATTAATGTCTTCAGTGCTGCAGATTTTCTGGGCCTCAATTGGCTCTTGCATTTTACTATGTTCAAGGGTTTCAGTCACAGTAGCAGCTGCATCAATCCCATCTCTATTCTTGTTCTTGTGTTTATCATTTCCATCATTTATGCTGCTCATTACTGCAATATGACCAGCAACATTACCACTCACCTTCTCCAGCTTTTGTTTCTTCTTCTTCTTTCGCTTCTCGTATTCACCTTCTGTTCCTTGCACAAACTTATTAATGTCTTCAGTGCTGCAGATTTTCTGTGTCTCAATTGGCTCTTGCATTTTACTATGTTCAAGGGTTTCAGTCACAGTAGCAACTGCATCAATCCCATCTCTATTCTTGTTCTTGTGTTTATCTTTCCTAACCCTTTTTGCTTCCGAATCAAAATTGTTCTCCAAATACATTGCCTCGCTACTTTCTTGTTCTGTGTTCTCTTTTCCACTCAAACAAGTTTCCATTGAAATCTTTTTAATTTCACCAACTGCATCTTTACCTTTCTTATGCTTCTTCTGAGCCTTACGAGATTCATTTTCATCTGTATCAAACTCTGATTTCCTCTTTTTTGTTCGATCCTTCTTCTTTTCATTGTTATCATCCTTTCCCTTATTCTTATCATCATCTCTATTGCTTGATTTGGAAACATCATTCATATTCTCAGTTGACACATCCAAAACATCACTTTCCTTTTCAACAGCAATTCCTTCTTCAACCTGGTTATTTCCCATCTTATGTCCATCCTTTTCACGCATGTTCTTACCCATGTTGACAAAGGCTTCCCTTGAAAATAATTTCTAGCTATCCCAAATCCTCATGCAGAGCTGACAGCAAGACACACAAACACACACAGATAGAGAGAAATATGTCAAATGAGCGGTACTTAAGCAAAATAAATCCTAACTCATGTAGCTTTTATTCAAAAATTTGAAGCAAATCAATGTTTTTGCTTCAACTACAAAACATTTGTACTCATTACAGAAATTTGCATCAATAATGATAGTTAACAATAACTTGCTCTTTGATTCTATTTACAATAAACATTACAGATATATTAATGCATACAAGACCATCTATATTGTTTCAATACTTCCAAAAGATTAATATAAAAATTAATTACCAGCCTTTGCAGATAAAGTTGTAAGATGAGAAAAATTTTAGGCGTTCAAGAAGTCACATTCTTTGATCCTCCTCCCACATCAAATCAACACTAAACACACTAGTGTTGTAACAGAGACAACAATGAATTTGCTGAATTTGAAACCAAGAAAATGAAAGGAAACATAAAAAATTATGGGAGAAGGCACCTTAAAATTCTAGGATAGCCTTTTCACTCAGTTATTGAAAAGACCATCATTGGTGCTGATAGGTCCATTAATGGCCCAGATTCTGTTAAAAATGTGAGACTCCCACTAAACCTGAGATGAAACTAATATCAGATCACAACATAAGGAACCGATATAAGAATCCGAATTAATGTCTTAATCCCAAAACTCAACTACAGCTACCATGAATCCGGCTACTATTCTGGCCTCTCCTCCTATAACTACTATCTTAAAAGGTACTTAGTTATTCGTTCTATCATTTCTTCCTTAATATCCATAAATGTTTTGCTATTCCAAATTTAGATCCCATTTACTACTAAATTTATTAGATTTCAGCAACACAAAACAATTAACAAGGAATCAAAGCAATTCATTCAAGAATCTTCAAATCACAAACAAATAAACAAACTCAAGAAGTTATCAGTAAAAAATAACAAATTCGAATTTAAGTATTTGATTGATGAAATTCCAGTTCTTACCGGTCAAGAACTCTCGATTGATCCGCAAACTTTTCTTGTTGCGATTCAGATTTTGGTTCGTAAATTCTAACAGCTTCACGGTCACTGCAAAATTTTGAATTCAAGAGTCACGTTTTTTGTAGAAAAAAAAATGATAAAAATTCTGATTAAAAAATACTCGAAAATATTTATTCTTTTTGGAAAAAAAAATGATTTTAAAGTAGCAAAGTTTGGATTATGTCAAGAAAGAATGGAAAATTACGGAAAACAAAAGGGGAAAGTAGAGAGGCAAGGCTGAGTCTACAAACCTAATAGAGTAAGCTCAGAGAGCGAAGAAGATCAGCGATTATGGCGAGAATGGGAGAACTTTCGAGGGACTAGGGTTGCTGAATTGGATTTGGATATGATTCGGGTAAGAAAAGGTTAATACTGGCTTGGGCCTTCAGGCCTGAAGGTTTTTGGGCTTCAGGTCCTTATTTCTCTTTAAACAAAAAAATTGGTGAATGGAGTAGCTTATTAGTTATTTATTAGTTATTACTACTATTTTATTTATTATTATTGTTATTGTTATTTATACATAAATTTTTAGTTATTATTTATATTTATAAAATTTTATTTTAAAAATTTTCTGAAAAATAAATTATAAAAATTTCATCTAACTTAACTTCAGGAGCTAAAATTTAATTTATAACATGTAATAAGATTATTTAAATAAAAATTAAATAAATATAATCCTTTCTCTTTAATTTTATTTTATCAATGTCGAGATTGTCAAAACCTAACACTTTATTTGCATTTTTGTCAAATAATAGGTCATGATGTAAAAAAAAAGAAATTAATCCAACAAGAAAATAAAAAAAGCAATAAAATTGAATATCTGTTTGGTGTGGTAAGTATCTGTTTGGGGCAGAACCAAACAAAGACAGGACAAGGATTCTAAGAAATGGAAGAACGTTCTGGAAGAATATCTCACTCTTATTAAAAAACTAAACCCTAAAGACTCAGCGCCTTGGTTCTTAGTTTCCTACCTGCCTCCTTATCCACTCTCTACCAAAACCAATAAAACGCCTTTTTTATTTTTTGGTTAGCTCAGTGAGCCTTTTGGTCATCGAAAATGGCCTCTGCCAATGCCCTTTCTTCGGCTTCTATTCTTTGTTCTCCCAAGCAGGTAATTTTCTTTAATGGGTTCATTTCTTTTTCCTTATTGTTAGCTGCAAAAGCACTGTCTTTTTAGCTGCACATGGTAGTACCTTATGTTACGTTGAAAGTATGGTTTTTTTTTTTTCATCTGGGTATTGGGGAAAGGATGAAAGATTGGTGTTTATGATGGCAGGGGAGTTTGAGGAGGAGGGGAAATCAGCAGCAGAACCAAAGGGTAAACTGTAGAAAAGGAAACAGCCGATTTGCTGTGAGAGCTTGTGCAAAGGAAATTGCTTTTGACCAGAGCTCAAGGGCTGCTATGCAAGCTGGCATTGATAAGCTTGCTGATGCTGTTGGCCTTACTCTTGGTCCTAGGGGTAACTTCTTTTTCCTTCATTACCCATTGTATTTTTACATGATTGTACTCGTTTACGTTTTAATGTTTGAAAGCTTTATCTTGAGTCGTTCTTTTTTTTGGGATAAAGGAAGAAAAAAGCTGATTCACTTATTCAAGTGGAATGGAATGTCAAAATTGCTTTGATTTGCATGTTTTAGAAAATATGGGGTTCATACTCATAATTGTCTGATGTATGTATATGCCCTTGACTAATTGTGTTATTCTCTAACTTAGAAGCTAGGGATATTGCAAGTTGTTTCCTAAATGTTGAAGAAACCTCTTTCTCTGTGTCTGTTTTTTTTTTTTTAATATTTTAACTTTAAATGCTTGTTTTTACTTATCGTGATGGCTAGTCTCATTTATATTAACTGCAACATGTTTGCATATTCTAAAGGGAGGAATGTTGTCTTGGATGAATTTGGAAGTCCAAAGGTAGTCAATGATGGAGTGACAATAGCCAGAGCAATTGAGCTTCCTAGTGCCATGGAAAATGCTGGTGCAGCTCTTATTAGAGAGGTTTGCCCATAATCTTTTAAGTGTTGTTCTCCTGATTATATGTGTTGATAAGTCTTTAATCTCAACTTGACATGGTCATTGGCATTGACACTTTTTGTTACTTTTTGGCTGTGGGATGAAGGTTGCGAGTAAAACTAATGACTCTGCTGGTGATGGGACAACTACAGCAGCTGTACTTGCACGGGAAATAATCAAACTCGGACTTCTGAGTGTTACTTCTGGTGCAAACCCTGTCTCAGTAAAAAGGGGTATTGATAAAACTGTACAAGGGTTGGTAGAAGAGCTGGAAAAGAAGGCCAGGCCTGTTAAAGGTCGTAATGATATCAAAGGTATGCTGCACAAATATAGATTGTATTTGCGCACCAAAATTATCAGCCACTAGGGAACAAGCTTCGCTTTATTGTTTGTTGTATTACAATACTCATGCTTTTTACTTATCAGCTGTTGCTACCATTTCTGCTGGAAATGATGACCTTATTGGAACAATGATTGCCGATGCAATTGACAAAGTTGGGCCTGATGGTGTTTTGTCCATTGAGTCGTCATCCTCGTTTGAGACAACAGTTGATGTTGAGGAAGGAATGGAGGTGTGTCTTGCCTCAGATTTTTAACCCACTGATTTTTTTTTTATCACTTAACAGAAGTAACCAGTCATTTTGGTGGCAGTTGAAGTTTGATTCTAATTCTAATTATCTTTGTTTCTTTTTCGGTGCTTGCAGATTGACAGAGGTTACATCTCCCCACAATTCGTAACAAATCTTGAGAAATTGATTTGTGAATTTGAGAATGCAAGAGTGTTAATAACTGATCAAAAGATTTCAGCTATAAAGGACATAATTCCCTTGTTGGAGAAAACTACTCAATTAAGATCTCCTTTGCTTATAATTGCTGAGGATGTAACTGGAGAGGCTCTGGCCACACTTGTGGTGAACAAGTTGCGGGGCATCCTTAATGTTGCAGCCATTAAAGCTCCTGGTTTTGGTGAAAGGAGAAAAGCTCTCCTTCAAGATATTGCCATTCTAACTGGTATGTAAATTATCGTGGTTTCTTTTCTTTTTTTTTTTTGTTTATTGGAACATTGCTCCATGGTTTTTAGCATTTGTTTCATTATCTAAACTGTAGGTGCTGAGTTCCAAGCTAGTGATTTGGGTTTGCTCATTGAGAACATGTCAGTTGAGCAGCTTGGTATAGCCAGAAAAGTGATTATAACCAAGGATTCAACTCAACTAATTGCTGAAGCTGCTTCGAAGGATGAGATACAAGCGAGGGTGGCACAACTAAAGAAAGAGCTGGCTGAGACAGATTCTGTCTATGACTCTGAGAAATTGGCAGAAAGGATTGCCAAACTATCTGGTGGTGTTGCAGTCATTAAGGTGGGGGCTGCAACAGAGACTGAACTTGAGGATCGCAAGCTACGAATCGAAGATGCCAAGAATGCTACATTTGCTGCCATAGAGGAAGGAATTGTGCCTGGTGGTGGTGCTGCATTAGTTCATCTCTCAACTTGTGTTCCTGCAATCAAGGAGAAGCTTGAAGAGGCAGATGAGCGCATAGGAGCTGACATTGTGCAGAAGGTAAACTTGCTGAAATTTTGCTGTCTAAATGATTATTGGATTTGGTTTGAGTATTTTGGGAACTCCATTTTAACTTGAAGGATTATATTGAAGATGTCATAAATGTGAACTTGCAGTTTTAACTTAAAGGATTATATTGGAGATGTCATAAATGTTAGCTTGCAGTCACTGCGAGACTTAATGCCCTTATACCATGTGACATAATGCCCTTAATGCCCTTAATGTTAACTGGATCAACATTTGTGTTTCAAATTTTATAATTATACTGATTCATTATGTGTGCATACAGGCTTTGGTTGCACCAGCCTCGCTGATAGCTCAAAATGCAGGAATGGAAGGTGAGGTGGTGGTGGAGAAGTTGAAGAGTAGTGAATGGGAGATCGGTTACAATGCCATGACAGACAAGTATGAGAACTTGCTGGAGGCTGGAGTTATTGACCCAGCAAAGGTAACAAGATGTGCACTGCAGAATGCATCTTCAGTTGCTGGAATGGTCCTTACCACTCAGGCCATTGTCGTTGATAAGCCTAAGCCTAAGGCTCCAGCTGCTGCTCCTCCTCAAGGTCTCACTATTTGATCAACTAGGATATATATTCGCCGGTTAGGTTTTTCAGAGATGAGCAATATCTCCCGTTAAATCACAAGAAAATTCCAGATGAATTGAGGTTTTCCTCGTTGGAAATATACCTCTTTTTGTATGGATTAATAAAAGATTATGTAACCCGGCAATGTAACCTTAGGGATCTTGAACAATGTTGATAGACATTGCATAAAAATTTTCTTGTCAGTATGATGTGTGTAATGCCTGTCGCAAAGTAGCTGCGTGGTTTGTTGATAATTGATAGCGTTGGATTCATAGTTTGGTAAGTTCAATCTTTGAAAGCGTCTATAATATCATAAAAGAAAAAAAAGGATTTTCCGTTTGCAGAAATATGTTCTTATGATTCATGCATACAAATGTACAATACAAGGACATATATGAGAGGAAATGAATAGTCCAATAAGGTTGCATGCCTGCATCCTTTTGAACCTAACAACCTTGCACCATTAAAGCGACGTATACCAAGTAGTAGTATAAAAAAAAACCCATGAAAATATTTGGTGAGCACCAGCTAAGTCGTTATTGCAGTTTCTTTGTATGTTTGCCTTTCTTGTTTTCTCAATCTAGCGGTAAAGCTTGTCCTTTCCTCCATATTCCTAGCTACCAACGCAACCCAGCTAACAAGATAATATGGGCTTTGGCTGGTGCTGGCCCATGGATCATGGTCAAGATAAGTGGGCTCGGATCCCATTGCGGTTCATTCTTTAAACCAGCATCTGTTTTAAGTAATTTTTTTGGCCAGTCGTTTTAAATGAGTTGATGAGTTTTTTTTTTTTTTTTAAAGCAACATTGAAAATAAAGGTTTAGTCTAATATGATTCTATAAATCATTATACAAAACCCAGTTTTACTTTGTTTAATGTGTGGAATCTATAAATCAATGAAGGTTTTACATTTAGATTTTGAGGCCTATAACTCCCTTCCATTGTTTGGTAACTGAGAAACATAAGGTATGATGAGCAAAGCAAAATTTGGAATCACACAGTCCTGCTGAGCTATGCTATTCTTGTTGAGGTATTTAAGAATTTGGTGAAAGCATTCAATGTCAAATGGTGTCAAAATTAAAACATTTAATCGGGATGGTCATTGTTCAAATTTGTTGTATTCAAGGTCCATTTCACTAGGAATTTAGATTGTTTAGATAATCATGTTGCCAAAGTTCAAGAGTGGGTGCTTCAACACATAA